CAGGAGGAAAATGCGTTTCCTCCCTTGAATATTTAATGCCCTTCGCTTCGCGTCGGGCATCAAACTATTCACGGGAGGAAAAGCAGTATTTTCCTCCCATGGTATGTAAATAGCTATTTTGACGCCAAAAACAAACTGCTAATCAATGTCATCGTCCGAGCGAGTAAGTTTGTCTAAATAAAACAGACATTTTATTGTATCCATTTATTCCGGCCGGATTTGGCAAACCGGACGTCCGTTCCATCTAGATGTTCTAAAAACAACGCAAAATAGTATATTACACTACAAGGGCAGAAAGTGTGAGATTCCTGCAATGCGCGCCATGATGCCCGAGGCGAAGCCGAGGGCATCATGGCGCGCAGTTCAGGGCTCTCACACTTTCTGCCCGTGTAGTGTATACTATTTTTCTTACTACCTCGGCCGAAAATACAACCCGGCCGAAAATACGGGAAAAAATTAAATGTATATTTATGTACCTATCTCCATTTGAAGAGCTTGATAAATAAATAACAGTAGGCCGTGAATTCAGCGGTGCCAATACAGTAAAAATAAAAGGTTGTATTTTAATTAACAAATTACTACTTTATAACAAATAAAAGTACCATTAAACACTTAAAACAACATAAAAAGTAAAACAGTAAAAATATAAATTGTTTATTTGTTGTTATAATTGCAAAATTATGGTTTAACACTGTCATATTTTTGTGTTTCTCATGTTGGCAGTACGAAATTTGAATGTTAAGCACACGACTAAAAAAATTTTACTCCCGCTATTAGAGTGTGCGCGTATAGCTTGACCAATGCATAAAACGTAAACTTTCTTCCATGGAATCGGTGACGAAATAACGTATTTAGAGTCGAGGTAGTAAGAAAAAGCTATTTTAAAGATAATGCTCGGGAAGGATATAACTTAACATTCTGACCTAATCTTTAATACACTAATATATTAAGTCTGTTTTATGTCAAAATTAATATAAATAGAAAAGCAGCTTACCTATGCTAAAATACCATTATACCCTCGACCTATCTTAGATAAGTATCTTTTTACAAAAAGGCAAAAGATAATTGGTCAAAGATCTGCTTCATACTTGGCACCAAAAATATTAAACTTAGTCCCAGACTAGTATTTTATATTTTAATTCGTTTAACCTTCGTGCGTCGTTCGTTTTCCACTAAAACATTGCTATGCTATTGAAATTTAAAAAAAGTCCTAAAAAAGAATTGGCGTCTTCTAGTATCTAGATTCCACCTGGGTAAAGCAGTGTAGGCAGATACGACCAAGCACGACACAGATAAATTAATTTCGTTTAGAACGACGCATGAAGGTTAAAGTGCATCAAAAGATTTTTTAATTAAAACACCAGAAAGTTTTATTAATAATTATTAATAAATAACAATTCGCAGCTAATATTAGATTTATATAACCTTTGTACAGTGTTTATTTGTCTATGTGACAGTCTAGCTAATGTATATAATAACTAATTTTAATACGTAAATGTATTTGCATTATTAATGATTAACTTATTTACTAGTAGATGTATACATTCACTCCACAAAGGTAGCAAAAGTGTACATAAACTAAAACTACCAGTGGCGGCGATAAGGGGCCCGCAGGTCCCGCCGTGCTCAAAAATGGGCCCCTTCAAATAAATTAATACAAAATTGTCAAGAAAAGTAAAGAGGCGCCTGACAATAAAAATAATCTTATTCCAAAATAAAACTATATGAATCAATCATAAATATATTCTATCAAAAGGACATTTTTTGATGAACTTGGAACTGACACTGGAATATAAGATTCTCTAAGAAGATTTCTAATTAAAGTCTTCTACAAGTCTCTTGATAAAATAATTAATCAACTCAGAACCCGATTTATAAGTATGAACCAAGTAATGAGCTATTTTTATTTTTAAATAAGATGGTTTCGTTAAAGTATCTACCCAAGAAATTATAGATCATGCCGAAAACATATCGGAAAAATACGGAAATGACTTCTCGAATAATTTATATTTAAGTGCATTTTAAATTAAATTCGAAAAAAAAAAAACAATCTATGAATTAGCCACATATTTTATATCATGATGTATTTTGAGCAGTCTTCTGGATATTTGTTCGTTGTTTCAACTTTTTTTTACATTACCTGTAACATCTGCTTCTGCCGAAAGAACATTTTGAAAGTTGAAGTTGATAAAAACATATTTACGTAGTACATTGTGCGAGGTGAGACTTAGTGCTTTGGGTGTGATAAATATTGAACATAAAAGTGCGCGTAAACTTGATTTTGAACTGTTGGTCGATATATTTTTAAAACAAAAGCATCGCCGTTTTGGCAATTTAACAGTATTTTCTTAAACTTTCTATTCCCCGATCTATCCACTAATAGCTTCACTAGCACCAGCCAGATTTTAGCGATGGTAATATTTTATACTTAAGGCAATTAGCAAATTACTTTATTGGTATTATTTGTGGCTTAGACACATAGACATATTTTGTAATATAAATATATTACATTTATAAAATAAAATGTAAGACAAGCCCAGTTTTTATTTTTGGCAATTTAACAGTATTTTCTTAAACTTTCTATTCCCCGATCTATCCACTAATAGCTTCACTAGCACCAGCCAGATTTTAGCGATGGTAATATTTTATACTTAAGGCAATTAGCAAATTACTTTTTAGGTATTATTTGTGGCTTAGACACATAGACATATTTTGTAATATAAATATATTACATTTATAAAATAAAATGTAAGACAAGCCCAGTTTTTCTTTAACTACGCCACAATACATAATATTTTCCAGGTATATAGAAAAACTTAAAATAAAATCTAAAGATATATCCGAGTTGTTTATTAGCATCTTAGATAAAATTCCAGTATTTCCAGATTTTATTGGCCATGTATAAATGTCCTTGAAAAATTTGGTAGGGGGGCCCCGAATTCTTATCGCCGCCACTGGCTACTAGTAAAACTACACGTTTACTTATTTTTCACGTAAATGTATGACTAGTTTTTGTATACATCTACCGAAATGTTTACTTTGACTGACATATATAAACATTTCAGCCTTTTTATATTGCTTAAAATCTCAGATTGAAACCAATAATTAAATCGTTTTGTATCATCAAAAACTACAAATAAACTAGTTTGAATAGAAACTAAGTTTTTTTATTTTATTTTAAGTTATTTAATGTGCTTTCAACAGACACGGGCCCAATTACAGAAATACACAGACAAACACAAATAAATAGCCCTACCACGACCTCTCGGCTTATAGTCCGCAGCGTTGACTACTACACCACCGGGGCGATTTTTCTTTCAATCGGTCTGAATCGGACACTATTTAACATATTTTAATCGGCGTATAATTTTGTTAATTTTAATTGTGTTGAATTAATTCAAATTAAAAAATAATTTTAAAACTATTGAACTCAAATTTCAATCGGTTTTAATCAATTTCAATTATTGACCTAAGATTTCATCAGTTTTATCGTAGGTGTGAATCGGTTTTAATCGGAGTTTGATTGCCTTAATTTCAATTGGGCTTCATTGAAAAATAATTTTGAAATTATTGAACAAGATTTCAATCAGTTTTAATCAGCGTTTTATTGAAGGTTTTAATTGGTTTTAATCGGCGTTTGATTTCTTTAATTTCAATTGGGATGAATTGGAAAATAATTTTGAAATTATTGAACTAAGATTTTAATCTATTTTAATCGGCGTTTTCAATTTCAATTGGGCTGAATTGGAAAATAATTTTTAAATTATTAAACTAAGATTTTAATAGGCTTTAGTCGACGTTTGAATCTTAATTGTTATAAATTGAAAAGTTATTTTAAAATTATTAAACTTAGATTTCAATCGGTTTTACAACGTTCGATTTCGTCAATTTCAAGTGTCAATGAATTGGAAAATAATTTTGTAAATATTTAACCAAGATTTTAATCGCTTTTTATATAAGAAAATAAAACCCCTTTTAAAACCGATTGAAATCTAACGCCGATTAAAATTTTAGTTCAATAATTTTAAAATTATTATCCAATTCATGCGAACGTCCCGACCCGTCGATTAAAACAGATTAAAAATTTAGTTCAATAGGTTCAAAATTATTTAGCAATTCAGCTCAATTAAAGAAATTTCTTTATATTTATATATTTATTAAATTGAACGTCGATTAAAATCGACCCAAATGAAATTGAACATCCAATAAAACCGATTAAAATCTCAATTCAATAATGTCCGATTGAGACCGATTAAAACAAAAAACTTGGTTCCCATTCAAAATAATTAAAATATTATTTTCCATTTAAAATTTATGATAATTGTAAACGATTCATCCCAATACCAAAACAGAATTAAAAAATCGATTGAAAATCAGGATTTAATTATTTTGAATCCTACTGTATTTTTATTTAGGCAGGGTAATTGGCTATTAGCGGTTTTTAACGTAAAACTTAGTTTTTAGTAAGGGGTATTGAATAAGAAAAAAATTTATCCACCGACTACAGTCGTATAATAACAGATTCCTAACACACACGGTCGATTTTAAAGTCCACCAAGAAGTCTAGAATCAGAAGCGTAAATTCGGAATGTGGTATGCATTGTAGACGTGGTTCATAACAAAGTCGTAAGTTAAGTTCCTGGTGGGGCAGATATTCTGAATGGTATGCTGGTGCGGGCGCAATAAATTTTTTGTTACTTTGATTGACGGTTTTGGTTGCGCTGTCAGAGGCTCTACGTTGTGACATACAATTTACGCTCTTGATTCTAAACTTTTAGGCCTTTGGTTTTAGTTTTATCAGGGAATAAAGAATATATTGCCAATTTCCCGCGCATTGTATTTAATCAATTATATTATATATTACAGTATTTGTAGGTTGGGTGTTTGCACTAAAATTATGTTATTTTCCTTCATGTTGGTAGATAAATCTACACATTTAATAGTTAGTCGATGGGAATTTTTATTATTAAAATAAACTTAACAATGTTTTTTTGTTTTAGGAGACATTCTTAGTGGAGTTTGTTACGTTGGGATATGGAATGTGAAAGCTATGCGTATTTTTGTTCTTATTCCGCTGTGTGTTTATTTAATATTTGGAACAATTTTTTTGGCATCAGGATTTGTGTCTTTATATAGAATTAGAACTGTAATGAAACATGATGGAACAAAAACTGATAAACTTGAAAAATTAATGATTCGAATAGTGATATTTTCTGTTCTTTACACTCTTCCTGCTTTAGTTGTAATATTTTGTCTTTTATATGAAAATATTTACTTTGATGAATGGATGATTACTTGGTTAGGAGAAATTTGTAAAAATACAAAATATTCTATTCCGTGTCCAAAGAATAATTATATAAAAGCGTATCCACGTTTTGAGGTATTTATGATTAAATATCTCATGACAATGATAGTCGGAATCACCTCTAGTGTGTGGATATGGTCTGGAAAAACCGTCCATAGCTGGACCTTTTTTTTCAGTAAACTTAGAGGACGCCATACAGAAGCCTATGTTTAAGTTGTTTTAGACTAAACTTTTGTGTTTAAACATTGACAGTATATTCTGTATAAAGACGTGTGTCAAAAATGTTTGTCACAGCCGTAAATCGTCAATACATTTTAGTAGAATCCTATAGGTAAATAAAAGAAAAAAATGTCCAAGAAAATAAGTCCTAAGCATTTCTTATCGAAACATCTATACAAGCCACTGACTTATTCCAATTTTATTAGCCCAATTTTGTAGGCAATTTAATTTCTATCAAAATGTGATCTTAATATTTCTTTTAATACTAAAGAACATACGTCTATACAATATTTAAATCAATTATGCGCCAATTATTATTACCTTATCAAAGTCAAAATAAAATAATATACAAGGTATGTTTATTTAAGTATCTCCACCCAACTATACTATTTATAATTAAATGTATGTATACATATGGGATAATGTATGTATATGCGATTTTTTTGTTTATTAGACAGAATTGCATCTTATTTTACAGCGTATGCGATAATTAATTACTTTAGTAGTGAGTATTAACAAGTTAAAATTATAGAACGCTCGAAGATACAATTTATATTTAATATAGATTCTAAATAATTTTGAATCCATTACAAATAACTATTTATAAAAATATACTGTGTGACATTTACCATGTTAATGCATGTTTTACCATAAAATATTTTAAACCAATTTATATATTTCTTTTCAAATGAAAATTTAAGAAGGGTTTTCCATTTATCTGAAACCACCACAGAATGTAATATTTTTTGATATTTATAAACAAATCTTTTGTTGTATTTTTTAAATAAAAACAATAACTAAAACCACACTATAGAAATTGAATTTTTAAAATATGGAAAAGTCACTCTCAAAGACGTTGTCCAGGTCCAAGTATTTAAAAAAATGGGGGGCGTGATAAAAACAGTTTTTCAGTCAAGTTTTTAATTATTTGTCGATCTTGTTTGATATAATTATAATCATAATAACTATTTTTTATATTTCTGACAAGTTCATGTTGTGGGCAATAAAATACAATATTTACTTACTATTTATATTTATTTATATATATTTATATTTACCGAGCGACATTTTTATATAAAAAATTGTAGGTACCAAAAAAGTGGAAACAAAATACAATATTTACTTACTATTTATATTTATTTATATATATTTATATTTACCGAGCGACATTTTTATATAAAAAATTGTAGGTACCAAAAAAGTGGAAACAAATTTTAAACTAAATAGTAAAAAGTTTTTAGTAAAAATGGAACTTGAATTGATATTTGGAGGTGTTTCACAATTACCAGAAAATATTACGAGTCAGTCTATGAAATCATCGAATCGGCAAAGCCAACCTATGTTATATTTTGCCTAAACTTTGTTGGAATGTTTTTGGAATCCCAAAGACGAACATTCACGATGATTTAATTATTACGTGCGCCGGTCCGCACTAAAGGTGTTATTTTTGTCTATTAGAGATATCTATTTACTTATTCAAAATGGCATTTTATTGGTTAAAGATAGTGGATGTTGTAAAATTTAATAAAATAATAATAACAATAATAACTTGCTTACTTTGGCATAAACTATCATCCCTCCAAGGGATGACAACTTGTTTGACACCCTGTATACTGGAGACAATAATTAAAAATCATTAAAATATGTGTAATTTTAGTGCCTTGTTATTTTTCAGGATTATGAAATTATTTTTTAATTAATTTTTACAACATCCACTATCTTTAACCATTAAAATGCCATTTTTAATGAGTAAATAGATATATAATATAAAACACCTTTTATGTGCTGTTAAATGTAAACGACTAATGTTTCTCAGATATTAAGTGAACTGTGCACATATCATAGAAGAAAAAATACAAAATGATTCCATTTATCCCGCTGTTTATAATTTGTTTGCTTAAAAATAAACAATTAATAAGTACTTGAACTTTCTAATGATTTTTGAAATAAACAAATTATTACTTTATTTTAACAACAATATGAAAGATGAAGAGCTTATTAATTGTTTGTTATTAAGTTTAGAGTAGTTATGTTACAATACATATACAGGGTGTTCCATTTAAAAAATGTTATTTTTATGAATATTTCGGAACCTCGACGTTTAATTGTTTTTCTGTTTTATCCATTTTAATCAAAAGAAAAAATGCCACCAATTTTCCAATTTAACCGACTTTGTAGCTCCAATAATAACAAAGTCAGCAATGGTGACAGATAACTTTGGACAACATGTATAATAATTTATGAATTTTTTTAAATTTTATTTCAAAAATTATTATCTTTTAGCTTTTAAATGCCATATTGGACAAACATATATCTCTAATCAAAAAAATTATACAGCTAAAAACGTAAATAACACTTATGTCTTATATGTATTATATATTAACTAAATAGCTATTTCGTGATTAATGACTGAAATTGTATACAGACTGTATAGAATCAAGTAAGTAAGGCTGGAGACAAGGATGACAAATTATATTCTGATCAGAGAAAAAGAAACAAACTTTAATTGGGCGTGGTTTAAACCAAGCAATTCGTTATTACGAACCATAGTTCCCGGGTTGTTTTAAATCAGAAGAGAACGATTATAATTATTTAATAAATAGTTCAATTTTATTTGTTTATTAATTAAATTAAAAATATGTCAAAAATAATTTGATTTAGTTAATTTTCTTACTTTTAATATTAAAAAATAAGAAAAACAACCCTTTTAGGAAACAATAATAGCATATGGCAACAGCGCGGCATGCAGCCAGATACAAGGGCATGCAGTGGGCGGGGTTTGGCACTTGTTTTATTTAAGTGTATCTATTCGTTTTAATACACACTGTATATACAGTGTGTATTAAAACGAATAGATACACTTAAATAAAACAAATGCCAAACCCGGCCACTGTGGTAGGGATTGAATTTGTTTGCTTGCCGTATCATTGTCGTATGATCTGTAAGTCAGTTTAAGAAGTGCACTGAGACTTTACGTACGTCTTTGTAAGAATAAAAAAGTATTTTCTCAAATAAAATGGTTTTTACCCTTGAGGAAAAATACCAAATTATGGTATGGCATCACACTGGTAGATCGTATCGCCAAATACAAACTTTATTTCAAAATATGTTTCAAAATAGGCCTTTACCCAGTGTCGCTACAATCCAGAGGATAATGTACAATATTCGAACGCATGGGTGCCTTTCGCCGCAGAGGCATAAGACACAACGGCAGCAAAGGCGGAATGACGATAGAGAAGCAAGGGACATTTTGATTTGTGCAAGTGTAGAGCAAGACCCTACACAATCTACCAGAACACTTGCTGCTCAGTTTGATATTTCCTAAGATACGGTTTCCAAGATTTTACGCAAGCATGGGTATCATTCCTATAAATTGAAGAGGGGTAACGAGCAACACCTGGGCGATTCAGATCGCCGCATGGAATTTTGCGAATATGTAATGAACAAGGCGAACGAGGATGATAATTTCATCCCAAACATCCTTTTTACGGATGAGTCGAGTTTTTCATAACATGGTCGTCATAATTCCCAAAACATCCGCTGGTGGGCAAGAGGGGGAAATCCCCGCAAGGTGTATGCTGCCCGAACACAGCGCCCCCTGAAATGAAATGTTTGGACTGGAATTCTTGGAGACCATATCATTGGGCCATTTATTATTGATGGTAATCTTAATGGGCAAAAGTATCTAGAGCTACTGCAAAATCAAATTGTTCCGGCACTTCAAAATTTGCAAATTCCGTTTGAAACCTGATGGTTTCAGCAAGACGGGTGTCCTGCACATGATACTTTGGTTGTCAGAGAGTATTTAAATCACAACTTTCGAAATCACGTGATAGGTCGTCATGGAGATATTCTTTGGCCTCCAAGATCACCGGATTTGACTCCGTGTGATTTTTTCTTGTGGGTATACGTCAAAATTTATGGATTTCAAGAGCTCAGGGCTAATAATCTCAATGAATTAAGGGTGCAAATCTTTAATACATTGGGAGATATTAGTCCTGAAATGCTGTTTAACGTGCGCAGGAATTTTTATGATAGGCTAGGGTATTGTTTAACTGCTGCTGGTGGTCTATTTGAACATTTAATTTAGAAAAAAAGTTATTTTCGTTATTTTAGAATTATTTTTGTTTGAGAATTTATAGGTTTTATTTTTATCGAATTCGTTTGTTTTGTTTTAATGCATTTTTGCAAATAAAAACTAAGTATTTCTTAAAAACTATACACATTTCCCTACGACAGCGTCGGAGCTACTGAAAAAACACAGTAGATCAAACTGCATGCCCTTGTATCTGGCTGCATGCCGCGCTGTTGCTATATGCTATTATTGTTTCCTAAAAGGGTTGTTTTTCTTATTTTTTAATATTAAAAGTAAGAAAATTAACTAAATCAAATTATTTTTGACATATTATTAATTTTTTTGTTATTTTTTAAGTTTCAAACAAATAAAATTTAACCATTTATTAAATAATTATAATCGTTCTCTTCTGATTTAAAACAACCTGGCAACTATGATTCGTAATTACGAATGGCTTGGTTTAAACCACGCCCAATTAAAGTTTGTTTCTTTTTCTCTGATCAGAATATAATTTGTCATCCTTGTCCCCAGCCTTACTTACTTGATTCTATATATAGAGTATACAGTCTGTATTATATAAACTGCGCACCAGTCAATGTGTCGCGACCAAAAATTTCGTCCTTTTTTAAAACGACATAACTTTTTTGTTTCTTGAACGATTTTATTTTGGTTTGTAATGTCTGCTAGCCCCATTCTCTGGAAATTCATGCTATAGAAATGAAGCTCACGGTTCTTCAAGTAAATTTCCTACAGGGTGATATGTAAAACGGTGAAAAATTTCAATAACTTCATCCAAGCCCCGTTTGTAAAGAAAATATTTTTTTCTCGTTTTTACTTTGAAATAATGAAGTATTATGTCTTACCTTGATACGTTTTTCAAATTGGTGGCCACATTGAGTGGTGCGCAGTTTATATATTATATACAATTTCACATTAATCACGAAATAGTTATTTAGTTAATACATATTTAAATAAAATAATAAAAAAAAGTAAAATGGTAAAATTCCT